CTATAACTTAAATTTTCTATGTAAATCTTATTTTGTCATAATTCTCTAATAAGTGCTATGTTCAGGGTTTCTCAGTTTCCCTTATTACCAATTCACATGATTTTTTTCAAAATTAGTGCAACTGTAAGAGGCCATATTGAAACCAATTGTCAAAGTAATACATTATTTACTACATATTACAAATTAATATTATTTTATATAGAAATTCATAACTGAGTTAATTCAATAAATTTAATATCTCTAGGCTCGGGAAAATTTTTTCAAAATTTTTATGGGTTGGACTGGGCTTAAAAAATATTTCTCAAAATTAATATTGGTTTGGTTTTCAAAAATTATTAGGGATTGAAATGGGCTTGAAAAAATTTTTTTAAATTATTAAAATCTTGGATGCTATTGGGATTTTTTAATGTTATTAATTTTATAAAGTAATATATTTTACCCGTAGATTAATTGGTAAATCAGAGATTTCCCCTTCATTAATTATAAATTTAATATCTCTGGGCTTTTTCAAAATTATTAAGGATTGAGGTGGGCTTGAGAAAATCTTTTTAAATTATTAAGATCTTGGATGCTTGGATATTTTTTCCAGATATCGTAGTCTTGAACCTAGATTGAGATTTTTTAAAGTTAATGTTAGTCTTATGTAAATATTTTTATAAAATATATTATAACTCAAAGAATAGTTTTCAGTAACATACAAAATGTAGACTGATAACGCTATGCCGACAACATATTTATCCCTACTAAAGATATTACTAACATTCATTATCTTAACAACAGTCTCAAATAATATCGGAAAAATCAAAATTTAAAAAATACTAAAATTCTCTTTTCCTTTCTTTCCCTTTTATTTTCTTTTATTATCTTCCCCTTTCTCATTATTTCCATTTTGTATCTTCACTTTTTAATTTCCTTTTTCTTTATCTTTACCTTCTTTCCCTTTTAATTTCCGTATTTTCTTTCCATTTAATTTTCTTTTATTTCCCTACCTCAGACTACACACTCCAGGCGAAGGCTGGGCTTATCAAAAAATTAATATCATTCAATTATTAATTCAACCCATATTCAAGCAAAATAATTATACTGGGTCATATGACGTGATGCCCAATAAAATCTACCAAATGCAAAATAAAGTTATTCATCTATATATACTAAAAATGCTTATACTTTTCATTTTAGAATACATCTATTTTAGCTTCTGATGGATGATATTCCCACTATTTCTTGAGAGGTTATGACTCCTCTTCAGGTTTAATACATTAATATGTTTTTTTATTCTTTTGTTTTATTTTAGAAAACAAGTCATGTCCTAACCTCACTTATTTTCATCAACTTTATTAATGGAAAAATATGCAGTAGATCTGTAGTGGCATTTATAACAATACTTACTACCTTTTTATGGTTGAGTTAACGTTCATAATTTTATTTTAGAGAGGGCTACCAATGCTGACATTGACAGATATATTATTTTGCATTTTTCTTTAATCAGTATCCCAAGACATAGGCATATCACTCATCTTTATCAGGACGTATTGTGTTTTGTACACTGCTTTAGTAATCCGTCATTACTTTCATCTACAACCCTAAATGATATGAAATTGTACATTAATTATTTCCTTTCCAGACCACTTTTCAGATTTATTTTGTCGCTTTTTCCATCAAAAATAAAAATGTCAATAAGGATTTGCTCTTAATTTTATCAAATACACAACATAATAATTATTCCTCATTATTTTTAAAAAAAAATTAGCCTTAATTTTTATGTCAATAAAAAATATTTTCTTAAAAAAAAATATATAATTTGCATATAAGTTTAATTAGTGTTTAATGGCATTTTTGTTATTTAAATAGAGAGCATTTTTTTTACTTAACATAAAATATAGGCAAATAATTTGGGAAATGCAAGACATACATTAAATTTATCCAAAAGATACAATAACCCTATATAATAAACAACATTTTTTTTTATATATAATTATAATTGATCATATTGCAAAAAAGTATAAGAGGCGGTTATTTTTATTTTATTTGTCATGATTCTCTAATAAGTGGTTTGCCCAGGCCTTCCCAGTTTCCATTAATACGGAATTCACATGCTTTTTTTACATCTTAAACTAATTGGTAAATCAGATAATTCCCCTTCATGTGATGATAATATTGATATCTTTTGGTTTATAGAAATGACTTTTAAAGCATCCGATATTTCACAAGAATTGAGATGGTAAATTTTTAGTTCATATAATTTTTAATATATATTTTTAAACCATGTGATCATTTAAAAATGAAAATTCTTATTTGTTTTTTTTAAAATATATTTCATTTTGATATCGTATATAAATTTATTTATAAATTGAAACGGTTTTTTAAATAAAATTATTCGCACTAAGAAAAAAATTAAAAAAATCAATTTTTTAAATTAAAAAATTTTTTTTCGGACGTTATGGGGGGGTACGCCACTGTATATCATAATTAAATATAGTTATATAATAAGAATTAATAAATTAAAAGATTATATATTTAGTTAAATAGTAATATGTTTAAAATCTATATCACGCATTCATTAAATTAACTTTACTTTAATATTCTGACACAACTTATTTTACAGCAATTTAAATTTGACTCTTACTTTTCATTTTATATTTAATTGTTAACCTTTTCTTATAACTTAGATTTATATTCTAATTATTTAGTTTTGTAAAAAGATATAAATAACAAGATAAAAAGTTATTAAATGAGATGAATTATTTTTAGAATACTTTTCAGGGGGGGGGGTATTCTGCTTCCATAACTATAAAAATGGAGGGATTACCTTTTTATTTAGCTAACATTATACAGTGTTATCCTTTTTTACATTTTTCAAAATGTCTTTTTTTAAGCTAAAATTATTCAAAATTACTTTCATAAATCTAGTATAAAAAAATTTCTAAATTTTCAAAGGGCTTACATGTTTGATAAAATAAACACAATACAATTATTTCATCCTCGTTAATTTAGAATGTCAACATTTTCAGACAAAAAAATATATAAACAGAAATATGTCAATATAAATTAATTATTTTTTTTAAGTAAATAGAAAAACTAAAAACCAGATAATTATAAAATGACAATACCCGATATTTTATTTAATAAAGAAATTTATTTTATATTAGTTAAAATATAATATATTAAGTGTTCCGATTTGTTTTGCTTATAAAATGTTTGTTAAAATTGTTTTACTCCCTTAATAGTTTTTATTCTTACAATTACCTGTTAAAATGTTCTATTTCTTAAAATAAATTTTACAATGGCTTATTTCTAAAATGTTAATTCTTAAATAATCTAGTATGATCAATGTTTTATTTATATGACGTCTCAATTCCTTATATTTTTCTTCACCAATTTTTTATGACTTTTGAAATTTTTCAAAAATATCTTCTTTTTTTTCTAAAACTTTATTTTTTTTTTCAAACATTTTTCAAAATTTTTACATAAATGAGAAAAAACATACTATATGTTTTTTTCTACAAAAAATAATAACAATCGATAATTTAAAAAAATTTAATAATAATAAAATAATAACAAAATAAAGATAAACATGATAATAAATATCGATTAAAATAGATAAAATCGATTAAAAAATGAAGATATAAATTTATTCATAATAAAGATTAATGAGAATTTGGCCTAATTTCATCATAAAATCTTTTATAATTTCTTAAAAATATAATACCCATTGTAATCATACATTTTTTTCCAAATGTCATTAAATTGCTTTACTAAATTGCCCGAGTTGAGTCTATTTAAATGGCAATTTCATGGAAACAGGCTTAATTTATTTTGACTATAATCTTATTTAGTTTTAAAAATTCCAAATCTGAAGATCAATATTATTAGGTCAATGAACGTTTTTATTAAATTTATTTTGAATATTCTAATAATATTTAAAAATTTTAACATGTTATTTTATAATTTTAGCAACTTAAAATATTTTTTTGGTTTTTGGCAGCCTTTTAAGGACTTTATTGATGGGTATTTTTTTTATATAACCAGATTAATGGCATAAAAGATAGAGAAGTACACCAATTTTATTTTGATTATTTTAATTTATATTATATTATCAACTAAAATAAAAAATTTTATTTCTCTAATTTCAAATTTTTTTTATAGATAATAAAAAATAAAATAATGGTAAATAATGAAAACTATATTGATTGTGGAGGAAAATGCAATAACAATCGACAGTTTTGAAGGAAATTATATTAAAAAAATTTAGCATTATTTTAGCCACTTCAAGGGAGCGGAATATTTATATATTGAAACCTAACTAATAAAATAAAAACAACCAGCAAAAATTGTGACAAATGACTCTATTTTTAATAAATTTTGAGAAAATCATGCAAATATATTGTATAACTTAACGTTTAAAAAATAATCAAAACTAAAAATGTAATTCTTCTGTCAATAATATGAAAATTATGAGTTGCATACTGGATGTGAATTTTAAATGATAAATGATTTTCGTATATGATATTTCAAATAAAAAAATTAAATGCTTCCTTAATAGAACTCCACAATTTTTCACAAGATATTTATTTATATTATAAATAAATAATTTATTAATATTTACATTTTTAAAAATAATTTTATATCAAATTTTTGATCAAAAATAGTGCCCCCCCCCCAAGAAAATATTCAACAAATATACCAGAGAGCCTTATAAATTTTATGTTTAAAGTAAAAACTTTAAAAAGGCTAAATATCCTTCAATAACAAATGTATTAAGATGAACATTCAAGGCAATTTGAAAATATGATGAACCCAGGAACTTGTTATAACAAATCTGATATTAGTTGATATTAATATTGGGAAAAAAATAAAAAAAAATATATTATAAGAAATTTGAGAGAAAAAATATTTAAATAAAATATTATATTATTTAAATTGCGATAATATTTCTTTAAAGATCAAATTCAATAAGTCAATAAAATAATTTTTAATTTTAATATATAATTCATTTTTTGAAAAATTATGTTTTAAAATTATCTCAATCGATAGCAAGACGCCATTTCTAATATAATTATTTGAAAATGAATTTTTATAATCAAGTACCTCAAAATTTTGGCAACAGCAATGGAAATAGTGGTGGTCAATCATACAATTATGTAAATATTTGTTTTTTTATAATATGTATATATTACATACAGAATTATCAATCAACTAATTTTGGGCCATCAAAGGGTAATACGCCAAATAGATATCAACCTTACAAAAAAGTTGAAAACAGACCTAGTAATTATAACCAAGGTCCGGCACAACATAATTATTATGTTCCTTCACCAATTACTGAAAATAGAATGGAGGTACAAATATTCTATAATTAATTTTTTTTATCCCTATATATATAGCAAGAAATACAGGCATTTTATCAGTCTAAAGAAATATTTATGAGTGGCGAAGATATTCCAAAGCCTATATTATCATTTCAAGAAGCACCATTTCCATGTATTTATTTAAAATTTGTAATAATATATATATCCTTATCCCAGTGCCAATTATGCAAACTCTGAGAGAGCAGAACTGGGAAATGCCAACACCTATTCAGATGGTATCCTGGCCCCTAGGATTATCAGGAAGAGATATGGTAGGAATAGCTCAAACTGGTTCTGGAAAAACACTTGGAGTATAATTTAATTTTATACATAAATTATATTGTCAACAAATTCTAATTATCAAAAGTTGAAATTTCAGGACACACAATTTTTCAAATTATTCCTGAAGATTTCTACATATATTTTATTGCTTTTATATATAAAATGGATGCATCCACATTTATCTACAAATGCAAAATTTATCTCCCCTAGACTATAAATTTTTTAATTTGAATCTTATATACTTATAAAATAAAAAATTATCTAGTTTATCATACCAGCTTTGGTTCACATTAGCAAACAACCACAGCTTAACCGCAATGATGGACCTATTGTAAGAAATTAAAAATCTATATAATTTTTAGTATTAAAATATTATTATAACTTAAAAAATATTTCATTAAATCTCAACTATTTTTAAAAAAGCTAACACCAAATTATATATAATTTTTATACTATTTTTTATCTTTAAAAAAATTATTTCTTGCAGTGTTTAATACTTTGTCCAACACGGGAATTAGCTGTTCAAGTTAAGAATGTTGCAGATGAATATGGAACACCTTTCAAAATAAGAAATGCCTGCATATATGGAGGAGCTCCTAAACATATGCAACAAAGAGAACTAGAGAAAAGTTAACATAATTTTATTTATATGACTGCCACCCTGTTTAAATTTAAATTATAATAATTGACCCCAATCTGGACTATGAGAAATGAGGCTGAAGTTGTGAATAACAAATTTTAAATGTTAAATATGAATTTAAAAAATAAATATTAATAGGTCCTCACATAATAATAGCCTGCCCTGGTCGTCTCATGGATTTCATGGAAAACAACAAGACAAATTTAAAACGTTGTAGCTACTTGGTTCTCGATGAAGCGGATAGAATGTTGGATATGGGTTTTGAACCACCCATCAGAAAGATTATCAAATCCATTAGTGTACGATTTTTAAAATATATATTTTTCTTGATGACTAAAATCGCGGCCCCTATCAAGGAGGTATAATTTAAACTATATTAATATAGAATCGTATTTAGCTTCATAAGATGAGTTAGAAAATGTTTTTTTTTAATTTAAAAAAAATGGTAATATTGGGGAATGACTAAAATACGCGTCCCCAGTCAAAACGACTTATTTTTATTATTATTAATAGGAAATTTTATTAAGCTTTATAAGATGAGTTAGAAAATGTTTTTTTTAATTTAAAAAAAATACGGTAACTATATAAAATTTATAAAAATTTATTTTAAAAAAAAATAAACTACGCATCTCTGGTCAAAATACAGTTTTTTTTTAAAAATAAAAGCAGATTCACATTTAACTCATTAAAAGAATACAGAATATGTAAATATTATATTTTAAAGTATTTTATAACTTAGTGATTTTTTTCAAAAAACACTTTTTTTTTCAAAACACTACGCGTCCCCAGTCAAAAAACCGTTTTTTTTTTAAAAAATCAAAACAGATTCATATTTAGAACATTAAAAGAATACAGAATATGTAAATATTATATATTAAAGTATTTAATAACTTAGTGATTTTTTCAAAAAACACTTTTTTCAAAAACACTACGCAGTCCCCGGTCAAAAAACCTTTTTTTAAAAAAAAGCAGATTCATGTTTAGCTTTTCAAGGAGATTCAGAAAATGGTATTAACTACGCGTCCCTACACGTAGTTAATAAAATACATTTGTAAATATTGTATTTAAAAATATTTTATAACTTAGTGGGCTTTTTGAAAAATAACTTTTTTTTTCTTCATTTTTTGACTAAAATACGCCTCCCTACGCGTCCCTCAGTCACAATACATTTTTTAAAAATAAAAGCAGATTCATATTTAGCTCATTAAAATAATTCAGAATATGTAAATATTATATATTAAAGTATTTTATAACTTAGTGATTTTTTGAAAAACACTTTTTTTCAAAAACAGTATGCGTCCCCGGTCAAAAAACCGTTTTTTTTAAAAAATCAAAACAGATATTTAGCTCATTAAAAGAATACAGAATATGTAAATATTATATATTAAAGTATTTTATAACTTAGTGATTTTTTGAAAAAACAATTTTTTTTTTCAAAAACATTACGCGTCCCCGGTCAAAAAACCGTTTTTTTTAAAAAATCAAAACAGATTCATATTTAGCTCATTAAAAGAATACAGAATATGTAAATATTATATATTATAACTTAGTAATTTTTTGAAAAAACATTTTTTTTTTTCAAAAACATTACGCGTCCCCGGTCAAAAAACCGTTTTTTTAAAAAATCAAAACAGATTCATATTTAGCTCATTAAAAGAATACAGAATATGTAAATATTATATATTAAAGTATTTTATAACTTAGTAATTTTTTGAAAAACATTTTTTTTTTCAAAAACACTACGCGTCCCCGGTCAAAAAACCGTTTTTTTAAAAAATCAAAACAGATTCATATTTAGCTCATTAAAAGAATACAGAATATATAAATATTATATTTTGAAGTATTTTATAACTAAGTGATTTTTTGAAAAAACACTTTTTTTTCAAAAACACTACGCGTCCCCGGTCAAAAAACCGTTTTTTTAAAAATAAAAGCAGATTCATGTTTAGCTTTTCAAGTAGATTCAGAAAATGGTATTAATAAAAAAAATTTAAAAAAAAATTATTTTGGCTAAACTACGCGTCCCCGATCGAAAATACAGTTTTTTAAAAAAAATAAAAGTAGATTCATATTAGGCTCATTAAAAGTATTCAGAATATGTAAATATTGTATTTAAAAATATTTTATAACTTAGTGGGCTTTTGAAAAATAACTTTTTTTTTCAAAAACAGTACGCGTCCCCGGTCAAAAAACCGGTTTTTTAAAAAATCAAAACAGATTCATATTTAGCTCATTAAAAGAATACAGAATATGTAAATATTATATATTAAAGTATTTTATAACTTAGTGATTTTTTGAAAAAAACACTTTTTTTTTCAAAAACAGTACGCGTCCCCGGTCAAAAAACCGTTTTTTTTAAAAAATTAAAACAGATTCATATTTAGCTCATTAAAAGAATACAGAATATGTAAATATTATATATTAAAGTATTTTATAACTTAGTGATTTTTTGAAAAACATTTTTTTTTTCAAAAAACACGACGCGTCCCCGGTCAAAAAACCGTTTTTTTAAAAAATCAAAACAGATTCATATTTAGCTCATTAAAAGAATACAGAATATGTAAATATTATATTTTAAAGTATTTTATAACTAAGTAATTTTTTGAAAAAACACTTTTTTTTTCAAACACTATGCGTCCCCGGTCAAAAAACCGTTTTTTTTAAAAATAAAAGCAGATTCATGTTTAGCTTTTCAAGTAGATTCAGAAAATGGTATTAATAAAAAATCTAAAAAAAATTATTTTGACTATACTACGCGTCCTCGGTCAAAATACAGTTTTTTAAAAAAAAACAAAAGCAGATTCATATTAGGCTCATTAAAAGTATTCAGAATATGTAAATATTGTATTTAAAAATATTTTATAACTTAGTGGGTTTTGAAAAATAACTTTTTTTCTTTTTTTTAACTAAACTACGGCCCTGGTCAAAATACAGTTTTTTTAAAAATAAAAACAGATTCATATTAAGCTCATTAAAAGTATTCAGAATATGTAAATATTGTATTTCAAAATATTTTATAACTTATGAAATTTTGAAAAAACACTTTTTTGGAAACACTACGCATCCCAGGTCAAAATACAGTTTTTTTTAAAAAATAAAAGCAGATTCATGTTAAGCTTTTCAAGGAGATTCAGAAAATGGTATTAATATAAATAATTTTGAAAAAAATTTCCCCAGCCCTACCAAAGATCATGATAATTTTGGTAGTTGAGAATTCAAATAAAATATTTAAAAAAGCCAATGTCTAGCCCATATTTAAAATTAAAAAATTTTCAAGGATATCTATTTTAAATTTTACCCAAGTTGATTTCTATCACAAATGTAAATTATGATATTTCTAATACCCTTTACATTGCAACATTTTTACCTCTTTTTCTCCTAAATATTAATATTTTTATGAAATATATTAATAAAGCATATTTAGTATCGTATACACCTAACTAATTAGTAATTACCCATCAACCCCGTCATTCTGATTAAATTAAATTTATTTTATAAAAATTTTTTTAAATATATATATACAAATATATCAAAATATAATATTGAAGGGGGGGGCTCAATGGTTAGAACGTTTGCCTTCCGAACGATAAGTTGCGAGTTCGAATCCAGTGTTGCCATAAAAAATTAAAAAATATTTTTTTTAACATTAGCGAGATAATAATAGCTCTCGATTTATTTAACATTAAGATGATGGGAAAGTTGATAGAAAAAAAAATTTTAACATTAGGAGATAGGAAAGTGAAATTAACGTTAAGAAGATAGGTAAGTTGATAGAAAAAAAATTAATATTTACCAAGATACGAAAACGTTCATTTCTTGATTACTGCTATTATATATATAGATATATATATAGATAGATAGATATATATCATATTAAATCAATGTGTAAAAAGCTAAAAAATCAAACAAAGTTGAGTGTTCAAAATCAGATTCCATCAAAAGATTAATATACATTTAACATTGATGAATTAGAAAATATTATAATTATAATTTATTTTTCATTTATGTTAGTAATAAGTTTTTTAAAATAACTTTCTAATCTTACATTAATAGTTAAAATTTATTTAAAAATTTATCATTTTATATGTTTTGTATATGGGAGACTGGGGTTAGGACCCCGGGGCTTGGCAAACCACTTAATCTCATTTCAAAATTAAATATACCAGAAGGTTAATATTTTATCCTAATATAGTTTTTATTAGTTTACATCTATAGACAAAAAATCTTTTGAAATATTAAATTATTAAAAATTTTATTTAAGAAATAAAATTTTGATGAAGTTTTCAAAAGATTTTTACATGATAGAATTTTAATTTTTATTATAATATATAATCACTTATATGTAAATTAAATTTTATAGCTAATTTTAAACACTCTTCTATAATTTGGAAAAGTTTAATGTGTATTTATTATATCTAGATATTATTTCAATCTTAATTTGTCAATTTAGAGCTAGCGGCGCTTGCTAAACCATACAAGTCAATTAAAGCAGTTAATAATGAAAAAAATTTCAAAATCTTGTAAAGGCAATTCATGTCTGTTTTATAATTGGTATTTTGGATTTATGCTATCATAATCTCTCCTTAAGATCTTTATTTTTTATGTCCAAAATGTTTATTAAATTAACCAAAATTAAGTTTCAATTTTTATATATAATTAGCCTCAATTTATAAGTATACAATACAACAAAATTATTCTATTTGTATCATTATTAATAAATAAAAATACATTTCAATTTATTATGGCCTTAAAAAACCAATGGTTTAGGAAGCCCCTTGAAGTGGTTTGCCTCACCCCGCTATTGGGGATTGTTAGACATAATTTTGACTTTTACAAAAAATAAAATTTAAAAAAATAAATATATTCTTAAATTTTTTTATAAGGCCCCTTTATAAAGTATTGTTTTCGGTATCTAATCATATTTTATTTTTTATATTATGTAAAAAAAACCAGAAACTATAGCCAATTTTTTAAAAATAGGTTAGACAAACCGCAGTCTTTCCTACTATCTTCACCAAATTTATAAAACAAATAATTTTATTAATCAGATAAATATACCATTTATTATTTCAAGAAATATACAATTTATTAAATATAATAAGGTTACTAAAACATATTTTTTAATAAAATACCATTTATATTACATATTATTATATACAATCGTAATAGGTAAAAAAAATGTAAATATTCGTTTGTTGTAAAATAATGTGGGTGTTTCAATCCTGGTAGTCTTTATAGAATGTTGTTTCCGACTTATCATCGATTTAGTTTTCCAATTTCAATCATTGACCAAACTATAATATGATGTTGTTTTCATCTTCGATATCTATTTATAGTTTATATAATAATACAATATATTTATTTTTATATGCCTTTTTACCTTCAATAATTATAGTCTAAAATTTCAAATTATAGGACTTTAATTGGTAATATTTAAACTTAAAAATAACTATTTATATTGTTATTACAAAATAATAATTGGATGCATTGTTCTAACTGTACAAACTTTCTCTAATATTAGGTAAACAATATTACATTATTTATACTATATTAATATCATAATCTACTTTTAGGTCTTAGTTTAAAAAAATACCAAGACCATGAAATATAACCAAAATATAATATATTAAAAAATTTACATTAATTTAAAAAAAAAAAATTAAAGAAAAAAATATATTTGTCATAATCTACTTTAAGGTCTTAGTTTAAAAAATACCAAGACCATGGATATATAACAGGTTTAAAATTTTAAACCTGAAATATAACCAAAATATAATATATTAAAAAATTTACATTAATTTAAAACAAAAAATTTAAAGAAAAAAATATATTTATCATAATCTACTTTTAGGTCTTAGTTTAAAAAAATACCAAGATCATGGATATATAACAGGTTTAAAATTTTAAACCTGTTATATAATCAAAATATAATATATTAAAAAATTTACATTAATTTAAAAAAAATAAATTAAAGAAAAAAATATATTTATCATAATCTACTTTTAGGTCTTAGTTTAAAAAAATACCAAGACCATGGTATATAACAGGTTTAAAATTTTAAACCTGAAATATAACTAAATATATTAAAAAATTTACATTAATTTAAAAAAAAAATTAAAGAAAAAATTAGTCTACTCTAACATCGCATCTTCATCATTATGCTCATTAGATATGACAGTTAAATTATTAACCTGTGACGCCTAGTCAACCTGTTGACTTGGCATAGGGGATATTGCCGATAGGGGATTCGGTACGTCTGGAATGGTCTCAGATCGGGAGGGAGGCAGAACTTGCGGCATGACGTTTGTCTCCACAACATCACGATAGCTTCGGCGCACTGGGGGTTCTGGACAGAACCTTACGATATAATTGATGGCTCAGTGGAGTCAGACAACTGGCTGGAGGATGCCAGGCTTAAAGCATCAAGGTTATATGGGCAGATGCTCAATATAGCTAGACCTATTACCAGATCTACCCGAGACAGACAGTCTCGTAGGTCCCGAAGCCCAAGACGAAACTATGGTTCCTTCTCCAGAGGCTCCAGAGAACCCCCGATCTGTTACAGATGTGGGGGAGACCATATCGTAAGGTTCTGTCCAGAACGCCCAGTGCGCCGAAGCTATCGTGATGTTGTGGAGACAAACGTCATGCCGCAAGTTCTGCCTCCCTCCCGATCTGAGACCATTCCAGACGTACCGAATCCCCTATTGGCAATATCCCCGATGCCAAGTCAACAGGTTGACTTGGCGTCACAGGTTAATAATTTAACTGTCATATCTAATGAGCATAATGATGAAGATGCGATGTTAGAGTAGACTAATTTTTTTCTTTAATTTTTTTTTAAAATTAATGTAAATTTTTTAATATATTATATTTTGGTTATATTTTTACATATTCTGTATTCTTTTAATGAGCTAAATATGAATCTGTTTTGATTTTTTTAAAAAACTGTATTTTGACCGGGGACGTGTAGGGACGCGTAGTTTATTTTTTAAAAAAATAAATTTTTATAAATTTTATTTAGTTACCGTATTTTTTTTTAATTAAAAAAAAACATTTTCTAACTCATATTATAAATCTTAATAAGATTTCCTATTAATAATAATAAAAATAAGTCGTTTTGACCGGGGACGCGTAGTTTTCGGGGACGCGTATTTTAGTCATTCCCTATTAGGGAATGTGAAATTAAATTATTTTTTAAAAATGACTAAACTATGCATCCCTGGTGAATGTGCATTATTTTTTAAAAAATGAAAACATAATCATATTAAGCTCATAAAATTAGTTATGAAATTTTTATATTAAGTTTGTTACACTTTTTTTTCAATTTTTTTGACTAAACTATGCACCCCTTTCCCTATGCAACCTCAGTAAATATACATTTAAGAAAAAATGAATACAGAATAATGTTTATTTTTTGGTAAATGTACTCTATTTTTAGTATAGCTTATCAATGGTATTTAGTCATTGAAATTCATTTTTTTCTAATCATGCTTTAAATAGATCCAAGTCCTCATTATTCATGTTATAAGTTTTTTCAAAAGGGGATCACATGTAAAATATTAACAATTTTTTTCCAATTTTATCAAAGAAAATTTATTAAAAAATTTTCAGAATACTAAAATTAATAGACCTCCTTATTTAATAACTTTAAACCTGGTTTGTCAATCCTATAGTTTTAGTTCGAATCCACAAACTACTGTTTTTTATTCTCAATACAATTTTCTGGTTCCACATAAGGGTGGTTATATACGATAGCTTGATGAGAGCGTGTGATCCCACTAACAAAATAAATTTTATAAAATGGAAGAACTCATCTTATGAAGCTAAATACCATTCTATATCATTATAATTTAAATTAAGATTCTTTCATAGGGGGCTCGTAAAATGTATGTTGCAGTGACTATAACTTTTTCATGTTTTAATGTTGAATTTATAACTGCCAGCCTTTTATATGGTTAGGCCTATGTGATTCAGCAAATTACAATATTTTATTTTATATAATATATATTAGACTCCTAACAGACAAACTCTTATGTTCAGTGCCACCTGGCCCAAGGAGGTTCATTCTTTGGCAAACGATTTTTTACAGAATTACGTTCAAATAAATATTGGGTCCATGGAAATTTCGGCTAATAAGAATATTGTCCAGAAATTCATCATTTGTCAAGTTTTAATACTCATTTTTGAATTACATAATTTTTTTTCATTATAACTAATTTATTAAATTACATAAACTAACTGTCTTGCGAGTTCTTAATTTAAACAGGACATATTTGATGTTCTTTAGGACCACGAGAAAGACAAGAAACTGAGCGAGATACTGGGATCCGTGATTGCAGATGGCCAAGAACACAAAATGCTTATTTTTGTCGAAACTAAGGTCTCTTGTGATACCATGAATAGATCTGCCCAAAAAATGGGGCAAGTATTTTACATTTTATTTTAAGATTGGGTTTTAAAATACTTTATATAATAAGCATTGGAATATATCGGATCTGCAATATACTGATTTTTAGCCAGGTGAAGATGGTTAAAAAATATTTTTTAATAATGGGCAAACATATTAGAATCTGGGAAAAAATAAATGGGAACAAACACCACGTTAACCATTGTATTCTAAATAGATTTATTTATCACCATCTTTATTATTGAGTTCCCTATTGGTCAGATGTCAAAATTAAAAAAATGTGAAATTATTATTATAAATGGCAATCCTATTTTTTTATAATTCATGATAGCTGGCCGTCGGATTGTATTCATGGGGACAAGGTTCAAAGTGAACGAGAGAGAACATTGAGAAGTAAAATCGATATATATTTTTCCCGTTATATTATAATTTAAAAATCACCTAAAGGAGTTTGTTGTTCAGTTTCCTGAAAATTAAACAATTTTTTTTGTCTATTGTTAATTTTCCAGTTTTTAAGGACTTGAAAATATTCATTTTCTCTAACTATCATATTTTTATATTAATCAAAACATCCCAAGAAATTGGAATACTTTACTAGAACCCAGAGAATTAATGTTCCATTTCCTTGATTCTCAAAAATATTATTTTTTGGGGGGATTCAGATGATCACTGCTATTATATTTAATAATTTTTATTATTCAATTGTTTATAGATTTTAGAGACGGGAAATGTCCAATCCTTATTGCCACAGATGTCGCTGCCAGGGGTCTAGGTTTGAATTCTTATTTAAAATTATAATCCTAAATCATTTAAGCATAACATAGTTGTTGTATCAGGGTTCAGGATTGAAGTGCGTTATCTGACATTTTTTTTTGAAAAATTGAGCTAACATTCATTTTCGAACTATTAAAAATATTGATTTCCTTTTTTTTAGTTTCCCATCCTTCTAGGGTCTTTAAATGAAGAGTACTTATACATATTTACGAATTATGCTATTTATGCCAATCATTCTAATTCAGATAATTACCCGTGATTTGCACACATTTTTTTATGCACCTGACTTGTATTGACTGTTTTATTTGATCCCTGCTCAAACAAAATTATTTTTAATAGTAGATAAATGTTGTACTTATTTGAGAGCACAAATATAGTGTCTTCTTGGTAAACCTCTAGACTTTAGAAGGGAAAAATGATACAAAAAAGATTAGTTTTGCACATATGATTTTTCTTAAAGAGTTGCAGATAGCCTACTTCAATCCTATCCACGATACAAGTGCATTACTTTAATTGTCAATTTATATTATTACATTTTATATTTTTATTACATCTCTCTTTTTTTATATTTTTTTACAGGGGGGTTTATTTTATACAGTCGTACGCCTAGTCTCTTATCCTTCTAACTCTTGTTAATACTAATGAAATGAATGAACGTAAGAAGTTCATTTTTCAACACACAATACAACGCAAAATTTTCGCAAAAATAGCTAATATGTGTATTCCTTTTATCGGTACCCATTTTTCGATATTTTGTCTTATAACCCGTGATACTGGCAAAGGAGATGATGGACGGGACATAGCTTATGGTACATTATGGATTCCATGTAAGTGAAAAGGAGAGAATGATAATCTATGGTACCGCACAATACACATATTATCAATTGTTTCCATTTTTTGCGTTATTTGTGTACGTTTTATATCTACTTAACAGATGAGCTAAGCTTTTAAAAGCCGATTTTTAAGCATATTTTATTAAATAGAAGGTTTTCCATTGTTTAATGTAATTAATACGAGTTACTTTTTTTTCCAATAGAAATATTTAAGTATGCCTTTTATCTTGGTGACGGCTGTTTCAAAATTACCCTTTATTGGACTTTACATATATTAATAATATTTGGAATTTATCGATTTAGCCTTAAAACACTTTGCATTTTAATGATTATCTAAAATTTTTGTAATTTTAATCATTGACTTTGAAATAATTGAATAAATCTTACCATAATTTAGACTTTGATTTAAACTTTAGAATTTTATCAAGGCTGTATCCTAATTGGAGTATTCTAGCACAATAATTATCAAAATTACCCATTTTCCAAGAGCTACATCCAGTGTATATTGATATAAATTTTATAGTGATGAGCATTGCAAAACGATACCACTTTTTTGAGTCCGATTCGTCATTTAAATTAATATTAGCAATTACTGATCCGATATCAGATATGATTTTGTATTCTGTAAACATACTACCATTACATAAGTCATTTAAATATGTTATAGTGATTCAATTTATATTCTTGAATCAAGTATATAAAATATTTTTTAATAACACTTATTTATATTATAGCATTAATCTATTTACATGTATTTGAATTAATAATTAAAATATATTTAGATTTTATTTATATAATGGTTTTTTAAAATTTTTCATATAACATCATTTTTTATAATATACAATTTTTAAAAATATTAGGATAACTGATAAGTAAAATATCATACATTGTAATGCTCTGTGCTCGATAAAAATATTTATAAGTAATGCCACGTGAAATAATTTAGCTCGTAAAACAAGCACCAATTACTCGTAAATTTATATTACATACCCTCAGCTATAACGCTTGGAAATGGGCCATTTTGATGCTATCACCGAACGATAATGCTAGAATGCTCCAGGCAGGCCTCAATCTAACTTATTCAACAAGCAACCCACATTTAGTTTATTGATGCAATTATTTGGTGCCAAGTTATATAATACGTTTTAACAGATGTAGATGATGTCGAGTACATAATAAATTACGACTTTCCACATACCATGGAAGATTATGTTCACCGCATAGGTAGAACTGGTCGCCAAGACAAATCTGGTATAGCTTACACCCTCTTTACGCCTAAAAGTGGACGTTTTTTGGCACAGATCAAAAAGATTATTACACAGTCTGGGCAGACTGTTCCCCCCTCTCTCGAGTCTTTACCGCCGGACTTTTATTCCAACTCTGGTGGGCGTAGCCTTGGAGGTGGTGGCGGATACAGAGGAGGACGAGGCAGTGGAGGAGGTGGTGGCGGAGGATTTAGAGGAGGGCGAGGCAGTGGCGGAGGGGGATATGGTGGTGGACGAGGCGGTGGCGGAGGTGGTGGAGGATATAGAGGAGGGCGTGGTGGCGGAGGTGGAGGAAGAGGCGGTGGTGGCGGCGGCGGAAGAGGTGGTGGTAGCGGATATTATAATAGTGAGTCTCATTCTTTTTTTTGTCGTAAAATAATTTATAATTTGGCAAAAGCTCGAGTTCAATAATTTACTACGCCTTTTTGGTACAGTAACATTTTTTACATAAAATCCTTCATTGCTAAACAAATATTACTTAAAATTTTTTCTTCAAGAGGCTTAAAGTAATATATGTTTAAATAAATAAATATTTTTAATAACAGCAATGTTCACAATTCAAAGTTAAATGTGCAAAATCGTTATCGTTTGATATTCATATTTTTTTATGTTTTAAAATTTAATGTTGAAATGAGGTGGCAAGGGAGATTTATCAAATACCAATTAAGATTAAATTTTCTCACTATTTGGTTTATTATATTCATATTATTTATCTTATTTACAGGAGGTTCATAAAGATTTACAGTGCGTGCTTAAGAAAAATATGAAATTTTATTATAAAAGAAATCATGAAATTATATATCAATTATTATTAATATTTTTATAGTTAACAGTATTATGTAAAATATATTTTGTATGTTGTATTTTTAAATATACTATTATATATATTTATCAAGTGAATAAATAGCAAATAAAATATTTTAGATATGTTCATAATATTGGCTCTTATTCTTGAATTAGTTCAATATTATGTTAATTTAGCCTTTTTTTTCATAGATTTTCAATTATAATATTTTTTTGTTAGATTTTGGATTTAATATATCTTTACAATTAATATAATGTTTGTTGCAATAAATTACAGGTTGAAAGGATTTATATAAATTAAAATAAATACACATTTCCTATTAATCTAAGACTTTTTTAAAAGCTACAACAAAAATTATTTTTAAAAATCTTTATTTTTATTAATAAAATGGGATTGAAAAATATTTACTATCTATATCGACCTACAGGAGTATCATATTTACCAAGTCCAGATTTAAAAAAAAATTTAAAGCTCTTATTCGCCTTTTATATTTTCAGGCCTAGCTTAGCCAGGATTTTTTAAAATATGATACATTTATTATCTAATTTTTTTTAGCTAATAATACTGTTTACAATATACGGCCTGCTCTGTGTATTTAAAAATTTTTTTAGGGCATATTCTGCCCCTGTATATTTAAAAAAAATTGAAATATTGTTTGGCTTGTGTGCCGGGCTTAGGACCATATTTGATCATATTATAAAATAAATAGCAAACAAAATACATAACATTTCTTCCCTCTTAAGTTTTTTTAAAATTGAGGCCATAGCTACCTGACCTAGATATGAAAAAATTTTCCCACTTTTAGCTGACTAGGGTAAAGAAAATTTGATATTGATTTAAAATTTCTTTTTTTACATAGGGAAAGTGAGATAAGCTAAATAAAAAGCAGTAAGTTATAATTTCTATTAAATAAACCCATAATATAAAATAATGTGTTTGGTGTAATTTCTTAACATAAAGCAATAATTTTGTTATTCATTTATCAAAGACCTTCAGAGGTATCATTTACCCGTCCCTAATAGTTAGCTATTTAAAATATTTTGCCCGGGTAATTAAATAAATTTTTTTTTTAACTCCTATTAAAAAAATTATAATACTGCCCAGCCCGAGTACCTTGGCTGGGCTTGCTCTTCTAGACTATACTGAATTTAAATTGAAAGATAAGCTTAAACTTTCTATTGTTAAAAATTTCATACAATTTTTACACAAAAATTAAAAAAATAATATATTTAAATGTAAATATTAGGCGAACGTAGAATGTATTCACATTTAAGATCTGCAAAATCAAGTCTAAAGCCTATTCAAATTTAAATATAATATTCTATTTTATAAAATAAATTTATGATATTTTAAAATTATAAAATTAGGGGCAATAGTTTTTATTTGTAGAATATTATTTTTAATTTCAAAAATATAATAAATTTTTATATATTTAAATTAGGAACATGTTGGCAATAAAATAATTTTTATTTTAGGTTCTCTTATAATTAAAAAAAATTATCTGCCAGGGTTAGACAAATTTTAAATAAAAATTAGGGTTGGGTTTGAATAATTTAGGCTGGATTCAGATTACTAATTCACGTGAGGGTAAATTTGAACAAAGCTAGATTTTATTATGTTAATAACAATGAATTGCCTCTCCTGTGTAACCTTTCTTAAAATGAAATGCCATTCATATTTTGTCTAAATATTTTTCCATGTCAGACTTTAGTGCATGCATTTTAATGAATGAGGCCACGTTTAAACTTGTATTTATGTCTTTGACGGAACCAAATATAAATTCTTTTTTTAAAAAATTAAATAAAGACAATTTTTTTTATTTATTTTACTATTCTGCGGCTATATATGAGATATAATTATTTGTCTTGTTATATAATCAAATATACAATTATATAAAACGAACATGTTATTATTGTACTTAAATAAATATCTTTAATTGTTGTCTAACACGATCCTTAAAATCTTTACAAATAATATTACAGACGTGCCATTTATAATGATATCATTGGTATTTATATAAAATTTACTCTAGGCTACAAATTTTCAATTTGCTTTAATAAAATATTCTAAAGTTTAAATAATATAAAAAATGTGCTGATGCTTAATGTAAATCGATTATGTTGGGAAGAAATCAAGCTATATTTAATCTATTATACAATTAAAAACATTTTATCAAAAAATTTAATGAGTGATTAATTCCTAAAAAAATTTCCAAGGTAAGAACGAATAAAGAATTATTATTTATGCTAAGTATATCCTTATCATATTCTCCCCTAGGAGAATATGGATATAGTCGAATACCTCGGCCTTTATGGATCTGGTATTCCTAAAACTTTTCAAATCAAATTAAAACAGAATAAATCGACGAGAAAACAATAATAATATCAAAACATTAATAATATGTAGTATTTATACAAATAAGTAATAGGGATGATTCGTTCTGATAAGTTTGCTATTGTGCCTAAATTCCTTGTCAGCGGAATTGATACTGATGTTATCCCAATTGTAAGTAGTTGTTGAAACTTTACTTGGGGCCTCGGTCATAGTTGTAGGGATTGTTAGACCGGATATTAGCGATGGTGTAGGGCTTGATTGAAGGTCCTTAATTTATGGAATTGTCTCTTGGCCAAAGATGTTTTATTTTAAATACAAGAGCTACCATTATCTTCTAATTTTTTTAAAAATTAATTTACCGTCGAGGAAAATTTATTTGTGGTTTTCATATACACAATATATTTTCTTTTGATAGAACTATCCAGCAAAGAGATACATAGAATAATTTTATTAATTCAGGTTCATAGAGCATAAATGATTTTATTATAATATCTTATAGATATTTTAATAATTTACTTATTGTTGGTTATAAATTCAAACTAAATTAAGGATATTTCTTATTGCCTGAAATTTATTAACGATTGAATATTGAAAACAATTTAGGTATTAGAAAAGGTAGCAGATCCAGAACGTCGTATATGAAAGAATTCTATAAAAAATGGATAGTTTAAGTTTATATAACAGATAAATCAATGATATTGTTTTTCCAGATTGGTACAATAAAAACATTAATTGATTTCGAATTTCTTGATGTTGGTAATAAAATTAAACATTTAGAAAGTTTCCCAAGAAATTTATCGGACAATTTAAATTGAAATATTTTTTTTGAATTAATTTAAGATAGTGATTCGGGATTTTAAATTTAATAAAAATGTAATCTAAATTATGTTATAATATTCGAAAAATCGAAATGGGAGCAAGAGAATGGGATAAATAAAACTCATATTAAAATTACATAATATTTCCAATATTGATGAAGATTTCCATCATAATGCTAAAAAGACCTAAAATAGGAAATGTTCCAATAGTTTATTTTGATACATATAAATAAAATATAATATAAGTGATAATGTTGTGAAATAAAATTAATATAATATATTTATTTGGATTATACAACGATATTTTAATAAAAGAAAGTAATAGATTATATGATAATATAGGGTAGTAATATCTAGAAAAGATAGAAAAAGTATATCGGTTACGGATTCCTTTGAAAGGTATTTTATGTTAAAATATTATAACATATACATCTTATTTATAAATGATCCATAATTTTTTATACAAATAAATTTAGTCAATAATTCGAATTAATTTTTAATTTTAATTTTATTTATATTTAATGAAAAAAGTATTCAATATATGTACATCGAATTCTAATTCCGCATACCATTACTGACAAAATTGCTGGAAAAAAATGAATTTTTATAACCAACCACCTCAACAAAATTATGGAAATAGCAATGGCGGACAATCATACAATTATGTATATATTTGTTATTTTATAATATGTATATATTACCTACAGAATTTTCAATCAACAAATTTTGGACCTTCAAAGGGTAATACACCAAATCGATATCAACCTTACAAGAAAGTTGAAAACAAACCTAGTCAATATAACCAAGGTCCAGCTCTACATAATTATTATACTCCTTCACCTATCACTCAAAATAGAATGGAGGTTTAAATATTAAATAATAATTTTTTTTTTAAAAATATTTTTATATAGCAAGAAATACAGGCATTTTATCAGTCTAAAGAAATATTTATGACTGGTGAAGATATTCCAAGACCTATATTATCATTCCAAGAAGCACCACTTCCAAGTATTAATATTGAAAGTGTAATCCTATATATATACCTTTATCATAGTGCCAATTTTACAAACTTTGAGAGAACAAAATTGGGAAACGCCAACTCCTATTCAGACAGTATCTTGGCCTCTAGGGTTATCAGGGAGAGATATGGTAGCCATTGCTCAAACTGGTTCTGGAAAAACTCTTGGAGTAATTAAATCTATTTTTTTAAAAATTCTATATATTAATTAAATATTATATAGTTTATCATACCAGCTTTGATTCACATTAGTAAACAACCACCACTTAATCGCAATGATGGACCTATTGTAAAAAATTAATATATTTATAATAGTGAAAAATTTATTGCTTTTTAATATTTAATTTAATCTAAAATATAAAATTATTGTATTTTTCATCTATCTAATGTAAATTTAATTAATTTTGGTAGTGTTTAATACTTTGCCCAACACGGGAATTAGCTGTTCAAGTCAAAAATGTTGCCGATGAATTTGGAACACCCTTCAAAATAAGGAATGCTTGCATTTATGGTGGAGCACCTAAACACATGCAACAAAGAGAATTAGAAAAAAGTTAACATACTTTTTATATGATTTTATGATGAGTCTTATCTCAATTCCAATTTAAAGTCATGAAAATTTATGATTCATCTAAAAAGGTAATAAGTTGTCTTGTATAAAGTTGTAACATTTATACCCTATCTAGATCCTTTATTCCCAGTGTAATTTTATCTTGTTACCCCACCCCAAACTTCTGCCTATAAATTGTTTGAAATTTTAAAAGTTTTGAATTTTTTGATTTAGGACATGACCTAAAAAAAACTAGCAATGCATTTTTAAAACTAAGACAATATTTTTTTTAATTGTTATAATCAAAAACTATGCCAACAGGTCCCCACATAATAATAGCCTGCCCTGGACGGCTCATGGATTTCATGGAAAACAACAAAACAAATCTTAGGCGTTGTACCTTCTTAGTTCTCGATGAAGCAGATAGAATGTTGGACATGGGCTTTGAACCACCCATCAGAAAGATTATCAAAATGATATCTGTAAGACTTTACAAATATATATGTGTATATGTTCAAATAATTTATTTACAGCATTAAAAGATAGATATAATTTCTTTTTTTTCTACTAAAGTGAATGTATGGTAAAACAATTCAGTTTTAAAACTTTTTCAAAATTTTCTTGAAATATTTAAAAGGCATATATTTTGCTTCTATAAATTTACAAAACAGATATTTTTAAAAATGTAATAAAAAATATTTTTTAAAACTAATATTATAATTATTTCTTTATGTCATGTAACTTATCTTATTCGTATTTTGTAATGATATTCAATTTATTCTCTATCATTTGTGGAATGGATTATTAAGTTTTTTTAGTCTTTATATATATATTAGTTATCTGCATTGGGCCTAATTTTCAAGCCTGATATGACTATAAATTTTTTTAAAAAAATTTACTGGCCGGTTTGAATTTATTTAAATAGAAATTAATTTTTATAATTACTCAAATTAAGAGGTATATGTTATATGGTGTTTTAGTTTCAATAAATAAATTCAAATATTTTTATAAAAAATTCAATATAAAATTGAGAAATTTAGATATATTTAAAAAAAATTCCAAGGTCCGATTTTTAAAAAATATTAGGCACGGCCTGGCCAGAACCTGATTATTTTAAATAGAATTAGGCCCGAGCCTGGCCCAAAACTAGTTTAGGTCAGGTACAGGCCAGGCCTAACTTTGCAGATTTCTAATATATATATATAAATTATTTGAATACAACTTATTCTTATTTCTGTTGTTTAAATATTTAACCAATTTTTTTGTGGTAATTAACAATATGTATTATTAATTTAATTTTATCAATTTTTAAATTAAAATTAACCAATTTGTTTTTAGAATGGAGATGAAACTAAACCATTTTAAAATTTTAATCTGAAAACTTGAATAGATTGAACCATTGTGTTAATTGGTTCAACATTTTATCAGGAGAATATATTTACCAAATTATTTTTTTTAATCAACCATTCTAAGCCAGCCATTCAATGGGTCTGCTGCATCCTTATTTTTTAACAAAAGTTAATACTTTTTATAATACATTTATTTAGACTCCCAATAGACAAACTCTTATGTTCAGTGCCACCTGGCCCAAGGAAATTCATTCTCTTGCAAATGATTTTTTACAAAATTACGTTCAAATCAATATCGGTTCCATGGAAATTTCTGCCAATAAAAATATTACTCAGAAATTTATCATTTGTCAGGTTTAATATTTTGACTATTTTTTAAGGCATTGAATTATTCAAAACGAACAGTGCCCTTATCACAACAAATTTAATTTTGGTTATTTGCTAAATGAGCAATTTTATTTCATATTTATCAACTTATAAATAAATCTATTGAATATGCAGCTCATAAATATTTGCAGTTGATCTAACCATCATATCGATATTTTATATTATAAAAATTTCAACTTAAATAGTTTTGCTGGATGCAAAAAGCTAGTTCATCTGAATTATCCAGAAAATATTAGCATAATTGTTATATTCAGAATTTATGTATAAAAAAATTGCTATAAATTTGTATTATTTAGGACCACGAGAAAGACAAAAAACTGAGTGAGATATTAGGATCTGTGATATCAGATGGCCAAGAACATAAAATGCTTATTTTCGTTGAGACTAAGCGCTCTTGCGACACCATGAATAAATCTGCCCAAAAAATGGGGTAAATAAATATATTTATTCAAGATAGGTTTATTAATGATTAAATTAGAAAATTTTGCCCAAAAAGTTATTTTTTTTATCGCGTTTTATCACTTTACTCATTATAGACTACTACCTTTTTATTTATGGTCCATTTTGAATAGTTAAATTTACCAGCATTTATTGATATTTGCTCTACTAGCTAGATTAATAAGTGATATGATAATTGCATATTTTATTTTGCGTATTAATTTATTGTAGATGGCCTTCGGATTGTATCCACGGTGACAAGGTTCAAAGCGAACGAGAGAGAACATTGAGAAGTAATCATTATACTTTATGACTATAATATATAAACTGGGACCCAAAGATAAGACACTTTTCATATGTTTTATTTTAGTTACTAAGTCAAAGAATTTTGTTCCCTATATGCTAGTTTGTAAAGTGGCTCGATTTGAGCAAGTTTTTGAAAACCGTTAACGTTAACTCGATATTTTATCCAGATAAATATTCCCACTAAGCCTGAAGATTTTGCTCTAGAAGGCACTATTTTTTAAATATCTAATAGAGAAATTTTGAGGCTTTCTGTCATAAATTTTGAGTTAGCCGTTTTTAAAAATTGGCACAAATCAAGCCATTTAATCACATTACTATGTTCCATTTCCTTTAAAGTTAAATATTTATGTCATTTTTTTAAGACTCCACAATTATTTTAAGATAAATCTTAAAAAAGCTGAGAAGGCCTAATTAGATTAGAACCCGAATAATTTTGTATTATTTAAAGAAAATTTCTTCATATTTCTTCATAATATATTTAATCTTCAGAGCGTTCCCTGTTAAGTACAAACCAAATAGTATTAATTAAAATGTTAACCTGAAGTTCAAAAAAAAATACCAGGACTAACTGGCCTAGAGGTCTGCTGGCGGAATTTTAGCCAAAATGCCTGCCCACCTGCTAATTCGCTCTTACCCTGCCCAAAATAGAGTTATTTTAGAAATACCACTCCTGCTCAAAGTATGAGCGTGTTTGGGTGGACTGGTTAAACCTCCCCTCTATTGCACACCTCTAGTCTACCCTATTAATTTTTTTTATAAAAATATTTCCTAACCCGTTTTAATATTGGACTGGCCGAGATTTGCTAACTCTAGTCTGAATGCAGTCCAATAAAATATTTAATTTATCAAATTTAACAACCTGCATGATTAAAATTTTGTGGGTCATACCTAGCTCAGCACTGCTTTTAGTATAAATTTATTTTTAATGATTTTTTTACTCAATTGTTTATAGATTTTAGAGACGGGAAATGTCCGATTCTTATCGCCACAGATGTTGCTGCCAGGGGTCTAGGTTTGAATTCTCATAATTATAATCGAAAATAATTTAAGCATAAAATGTAGACATTATTTGAGTATATTATTTTAAGTGTCAATCAATTATATTATATATTTTTTAATATATCTTTTTTTATATTTTTACAGGGGTTTTTATTTTATTCAGTCGTACGCCTTATGTCTCTTATCTCTTGTTAAAACACATGAATGTATGAACGTAAGAAGTTCATTTTTCAACACAATACAACGCAAAAATGTTCGCAAAAATAGCTAATATGTGTATTCTTTTCTTGGTACCCATTTTGTCTTTATACCCACCCAGTGACACCTGACGGAGAAGATGATTGGACGAACCATGGTTACAATGTGGATTCCATTTAAAGGGAAAAGAAACTGATCATCGATTGTACCGTACAATGCACATATTATCAATTGTTCTCATTTTTTGCGTTATTTGTGTATGTTTTATATCCTCTAAGGCATTTGAGTATATTCGCTCTTTACTTGATCATTTATTTAACCTTTTAAGTGTATTTTATTATTTAAATTTTTTAGTGTGGGCTTTATAACTTGGCGGCGGCTGTTTCAAAATTACCCTTATTGATTTTACATAAATTTATACCTAAAGATATTTAGTGGATTGACTGAAATTTATTTTTACGGAAAGCTTTATAATTTTTTTTTTCACTATTAACTTAATTTGAACTTTTAGATCTTTTTTAAACCTGTAAATATCACTCAAAACAGATTATTACTGACATACGTATCTAATTTGCACACATATACAACGATGTATTATATTATACATTTTTTCAGACGTGGATGATGTAGAGTACATAATAAACTACGATTTTCCGCACACCATGGAGGATTATGTTCACCGCATAGGCAGGACCGGTCGCCAAGACAAAACCGGTACAGCTTACACCCTCTTTACGCCTAAAAGCGCACGTTTTTTGGCTCAGATTAAGAAGATTATTACGCAGTCTGGACAAGCTGTTCCTGCCGCCCTCGAGTCTTTACCCCCCGACTTTTATTCCAATTCTGGTGGGCGTAGCCTTGGAGGTGGTGGCGGATACAGAGGAGGACGAGGCGGTGGCGGAGGTGGTGGCGGAGGATTTAGAGGAGGGCGAGGCAACGGTGGTGGTGGAGGATATGGAGGAGGGCGAGGCGGTGGTGGAGGAAGAGGCGGAGGCGGTGGGAGAGGCGGAAGCGGTGGATACTATAATAGTGAGCTTTATATTTTTTGCAATTAATTAAATATTATGAATTAGTCATATCACACACTTCAATTTTTTACAGAAGTTGAATCGAAACTTAATAAACACCATAGGAAAAATGTTAATCCATGATTTTTTTTATATTTTTATAAATCGAAATATATTTTACACAGGAAATGATTCTTGGAATTAGATGTGCCAAAGAAGGTTTTTGTTACCCGGTGTGAATATATGCGTGCCAATTTGATTTATAAATTTTATCAACATTTTTTTGGAATAAATATTATTGTGATATTAATTCATCTATTCATGCATTGTTGCAATACTCATATAATTATTCTAGTGTATTTAAAAAAATAGTAAATATATATATCTATTTTCTCTTGTTGCTTATTTATGAAAATATCATCTAGTTATTAAAGTTTGGATTTTATTGAATAAATGGTATTGCGATAAAATAAAATGAATATCTTGTTTATAAAGAGAACTTAATGACATCAATCTATCTTTTAGTTTAGCAGTAGTGATCTTTTGAAAGTTATCCTCATATCTCAGAATAAATATTTGATAATCATTATTTTGATTAATATAAAACAACACAGTTGTTAAAAGATACTTTTTAAATGGATCTAGTTACAGATACATCGTCTAAAATAATATCTAGATACAGATATTTTAATCAAAAATCTATCTAGATACAGATACCACATTTTTATATCTAGATACAGGATCTAGATACTTGTATCTAGATCCTTTAACAACTCTAAAACAATAAAGGGATAATATATTTTAGCTAGCACGTTTCTCAGAAACCAACAAGTTTCCTTTGAATTAATTTAAAAATTGAAACCTAAAAATTATAGGGTTGGGAATGAACTTCAATGGTCTTTAAATTTTCTTTTCCTAAAAATTAATATCCTTAAATATTGACTTGTGCATGTATATAGTATTTTTAATATTTAGCATTAGTATTGTTAAACGGCTCATTTTGAGCCGATTTTTAAAAACTGCTCATATTTGGCATAAAGGTTTGGACATGTATTAGTGAGATCTCAATGGTTAGATAATAATTTTCCGGCTAAAATATCGAGTTAGCCGTTATTAAATATCGGCTCAAATCGAACCGTTTAACAACTCTATTTAGCATTAACGTATATGATTGATTCTTCACTATGAAATTAAAAGAAGTAGCTTTTTTAAAAAGTATAACATTTATTTTATATCTTTTTAAAAATTGCATTAATTTCTCATTCTTTATTTTTGTCTCATATTTACAGTTTCCTTTTTATGAATTAGAAAAATTTCAGTCATGTATGTGTACCAATTTTTTAATATGAACCTGCAACTTCATGTATTTCATAATTTTAATTAGTTATCTGGACTAGAATGCCTGGAGGTTTACTTTTGTAAACATCAGACTTCCACGAATTGTATATAAATTACCAAATATTTTAAGCCATAAAAAAGGAAAATTTTAATTTATTTTTGTAGTTGTTAATTTTTTCATTACAATATGTAATTAATGAAATCTGACAAGGCTTAGATCTGGTATAGAGTTTACAATACATAGAAAATTGAGTAAAATTCTATTTACTGCTTTAGCTTGGCGGGGGAGTGGCAACTTTCTTAAACAGCTGGCTTGAAAAAGTTTCCTATGCCACATGTATAAATTATATTTCGCTAAATAAGTTTGGCCTTATTCTGCTGGGAATATTTTCTACGTAAACTTTATTTTCAGTTCTAATTTAGATCATAACATTTAATCTTGGAGTCGGACAATAAAATAAATTTTAATAAAAAAATGCCTTTAATCCAATCAGATTTAATCTTAATAATACTCCAACGAGAAACATAATCCAAAGGTTAGGAGAAACTGAAAATTTTATTTGTTGATTAATAATTAACTAGCCTGACCTCTCATGTATTTGTTAGCATCAATGTGTTATTTTTTCACCCTTGAATCATTCTTTGAGTTTTAAAAATCTCATTTTACCGAAAATGTGTACCTATGAATTTCAGACAAATTTTCCAATGAACTCTTAAAAAACTTAATAAAAATTATATTAAATTTTTGCATATATTATCAATATAAATTATAAATTATTCAAAGGTTAACACCAGAATTAATCTACTATTTATAAGATATGTTTTCCAAACATGATGGAACATATTTCCAGTTGTGCTCAAAAAATGTTTTATCAAAACATCGCCGGTCTAGTATTGGAGTGATCTGCTAGACATTTTCGAAATTTTTGAGTTAGGAAGTTGATAATGAGTTATTTATTCCCAATATATATATAAAAATGAAAAATAGATTAAAGAATATTAATTTTTGCCAAAGCTATAGCTCTGTCAAAATCGATCAATAAAGCTTTTCCTATGTTTGATTTTAAACGTTAAAGTTGATTTTCTCATTTTAAACATTCGCGCATGTGGAGCACTTGCCGGGAAAGACACCGCTAATATACTAATCCGAGTTCATTAGATCTTTTAAGGTCTTAATATAAAATTATGATAGTTATAATACCTATGTTCCTCTTCAGATGTAAGTTAACAGCTTGATCCTACCTACTCGATAGATATAAGAGTACGTGAGCGCGATTGATTATATCAATGAGTAGCTAAACTATCCTAAAAAACTCCTACCCCATTACCAGCATTGATCAAAATATTTTTAAATATAAAATATATAAGAATTTAGAAGAAATAAAAAATTTAAAACATATGAAAGGAAAGGAAAATAAAAATGAAATAAATATAAAATTTTTTGATAATAATTTAAAAAAAAAAAAAATATATGTTTGATATAAATGTGCTTAAAATTTCACTAATTCCATACAAATATTTGAATAAAATTGAATTCCAAAATTTGAACAAGTATTGCCTTAAGTATAATTGAACTTGATGACATGTAACGAGGTAGTATTTTTGTGATCCAATTGCATAAATTTAGTTAAGATTTTCCTAACGGAGTAAAACTACAATTAGGTTGCTTATAATGAAATGAACATATGATTATATACGTCATTCCGGAGATCGCAGGAGCAAAATCTTCAGGGCTTGCATAATGTTTTTTTTGGTTAAAATTGTTGTGATTGTATTTATTTTGATTAAAGATCTTGTGTATATAAATTTTAATATTTACGGAAAATAGATGTGTTTTTTCTATAAAGTTGAATATTTAGAGTTCACGTAAAATTTGCGTATGTATATTGTTAATAATACGACGAGTGTGTAAATAATGATACTATATATCAGAGTTGTTAAAAGATACTTTTTAAATGGATCTAGATACAGATACATCGTCTAAAATAATATCTAGATACAGATATTTTAACCAAAAATCTATCTAGATACAGATACCACATTTTTATATCTAGATACAGGATCTAGATACAAGTATCTAGATCCTGTAACAACTCTTTTATATATAATATGGTTTTATATAGAAAGAGAAGATATTCTCTCTTTTTGCTATTCATTTTTATTTTTATTTTTACTTTTTTTTTTGTATTAATTTTTTCTTCTTCTTTTATTGTTGGTTATGTTTTTCCCTTCATATTTAATTGTAATTAATTATTAGTAAATTAATAAAGATTTAAATTTTATAGTTTAGTTATTTAATTATATTTCTTTATATTTTTATTTCATCTTATTTTATTTTATTTTTTTGGTTCAACTTTCTTTATATGACAATAATCTAAATCGGCCCGTTATTTTTAACAACACTAATTCCGAGGCAAATTTGCGCACTGTCGTATTTTTATATATATTAATATAAATGCCAATCAACCGATTTAAATAACGTTGATTGGATAGTAATTAAATTTGAATAACACGTGACGTTTTTATATATATATATTTTTTTAATACAAAATTGTAAAGAACGCCATTATTTAAAGTTTTGATGATCATTATTAAAATTTAGGATTATTAAATTTTTTTGATGACTATTCTTAAATTCTTAAAAATTATTAAAAATTCGAAATTATGATTACATTGATATATATATAAACTTTGAAATGATTTTCTTAACAAATAGATTGTAAATTTTTGTTAGAAATAAAGAGATCTCTCTTTGATAAAAGTTTGTGTAAGTAAGAGTTGTTACACACACTACCTATTTTTTCCTTCCATTTTAATTATCCAACCCTAAACCCAATAAAATTAGCCACGAATTTTCTCAGCACATTTAGGGATGGTGCCTGTTCACTGGTGTTGTTAAACGGCTCGTTTTGAGCCGATCTTTAAATACGGCTAACTCAATATTTCATCTAGAATATTAATAAGAGCAAGCCTGAAGATATTGTCTGTAGAAGGAACAAAGATTTGGACATCTATTAACGAAATCTCAAGGCTCAGGCAATATTTTTCTAGCTAAAATATTGAGTTAGCACACTACTGTTCACTTTGCCATTACTAAAATTGGCATAACTAATTTTGCTTAAAATAAAGATCATTTCAAAAAAACTTGGCCAGGAAATTTTGTTACCCAATTTCAGTTTGAGTTTAGAGAGGATATTCCAAAAAAAAAATTTAAACAAAAAATATGTCAGTCTTATTGTACGATTCCAGTTACCCAGTTTTATTATAATTTCCAAAAATATGACAACTAAGACAATATTATATATATACATATATATATCACAACATATTATATAACCCCTATATTTTGTTTAAAAAAAAATTATTTATATAAAATCAAAGATGAGAATATCTTAGACTTTTGACACTTTCTTGTTGATTACTGGATCCGCTCTGAAGCATTCTTCTTACTTCCGGGTCGTTTAGAGGATCCTTATTTTATTAAGAATAAACATTTTATTAATTATTAAAAAAGTGGGAAATATAAATAAAAAATTTGGAAGGTTTTTTTCCAATCATTTCAAATTTAAAAATAAATTTTTTTAGAAAAAAATGTAAATGGGTGAGAAGAAATATTAAATGGTGGTAAGAGTGTTGACTACATGAGCAGAGGGAAGGTGTAAGCAGCTATTTGCTTCCGAATTTAGGGTAAATTAAAAATAAACCAATATTCCTTGGAATAAAGAATAAAGTAATTGGGCAGAAGGGATCGTCTAGAATTGTAGGTTTAATAAAAATGTAATCATTATTAATTTCTAACAAATCTGACAGGGCACGCATGTAACTGTAGACAGGATATTTTAATTTAAAATTTTACAAGATACTCATTTATATTAATTACCTAGCCTATATAAAGTATATTTTTTTTATAATTAATACAGATATATAATTTATATGTAATATATAATAAAATTTTAAAATAATTATTTTTTTAGTATTTTTCTTAATTTTACTTTAAATTATTTTCGATTTTTATGGCAATTTGTTAATTTATATTTATTTGTTATAATAAGATTTTATGGATCATAAT